AAGGAAGGAAGGAAGGAAGGAAGGAAGGAAGGAAGGAAGGAAGGAAGGAAGGAAGGAAGGAAGTTGGAAGGGTCCTTGGAGGTCTTGTAGTCCAGCCCCCTGCTCAATCAAGAGAACCTATAACATTTCAGGAAGGAAGGAAAGAAGGAAAGGACAAATCACGGGCCTACACTATTTCATATAAGTAAGTGTCCAGTCTTTTGTTAAAATCTTCTAGTGATGGAGCACCCAGGATTTCTGGTAGCAAGTTGTTCCACTGCTTAATCATCCTCACTGTTAGGAAGTTTTTCCTTAATTCCAGGTTGCTTCTCTCTTTGATTAGTTTCCATCCATTGTTTCTTGTCCTGCCCTTCAGTGCTTTGGAGAATAGCTTGACTCCCTCTTCTCTGGGGCAACCCTCAAATACTAAAATACTGTTACCATGTTGCCCCTAATTCTTCTTTTCTTTAGACTAGCCAAACTCAAATCCTGCAACCGTTCTTTGTGTGTTTTAGCCTTCTAAGCCTTTAATCCCCGTAGTTGCTCTTCTCTGCACTTCCCCCAAAGTGTCAACCTCTTTTTTGTAATGTGGGGACCAAAATTGGTTGCAGGATTCCAAGTGTGGCCTCACTAGGGTTTTATAAAGCAGTACTAATAGTTCATGCGATCTTGATTCTTTGGCTCCGTTTATGCTGCCCAGGATTGTATTAGCGTTTTTGGGTGGTGGCTACGCACGGCTGGCTCCATCAGCAGGGTCTTTTTCAAGGGCAAAGAGAGGAGGGGGCAGATCAGTGACTTCCTAGAGGGAGGGAGGTGGGCTATGCATGTAAGAAAGAGCTGAGCAGAAGGACAGTCATGATGGCACCTCCCTTCTGCAAATCGCAAAGAATTTGGCTCATTCAACAAGGGGAGTGGCTGTATTAGAATGGAATAGAATAGGAATAGAATAGAAAAAAATGCAGAATAGAATAGGGATAGATAGAACAGAGAAAAATGCAGAATAGAATAGAAAAAAATGCAGAATAGAATATGAATAGAATAGAATAGGAGAGAAATGCAGAATAGAATAGAATAGGAAAAGAATAGAATAGAATAAAGAAAAATGCAGAATAGAGAAGAGAAAAATGCAGAATAGAATAGAGAATAGAATAGAGAAAAATGCAGAATAGAATAGAGAAAAATTCAGAGTAGAATAGGAATAGAAGACAAGAGAAAAATGCAGAATAGAATAGGAATAGAAGAGAAAAATTCCGAATAGAATAGAGAATAGAATAGAACAGAGAAAAATGCAGAATAGAAGAGAGAAAAATTCCGAATAGAACAGAGAAAAATGCAGAATAGAATAGAATAGAATTCTTTATTGGCCAAGTGTAATTGAACACACAAGAAATTTGTCTGTTGTCTATTGGGGCTTGGCCTCCCTGCCCCTCTTCTCCTGACAGGATAATCTGAACTAGGCCAATTCTGGAACATAGACCGCAGGGGGCAGAGTGCTTACCACTTGGAAAGTAGGTCTCCCCACGTCTCCAGGATCTTTTCTGCGCACTCTTTAGAGACGTCCCCAGAGCCACTGAGCAGAGGCTCATCGTTATCTGCAAAAGACGAGGAGAGGATCAGGGAAGGGTGAAAAGCACAAGCCGCCAAAACCCCGCCCCACAGCAGGGAGCCACTCTTCCACGGGCCACACTCTCAGGTCTCCCATCTTTGGCTTGGCGCCTCGCTGGCATCTGTTCTGACCGACGCTTCCCGAGAGCCTGAAGCAAACTCCTGGTCCCAACAAAAACCCCTTTTATGAATTAACTGTGGATTCTGCTCATTCACCTCCAGCAAAGTCTTTCAAGGGAGGATTTACAGTCACAGACCTTATCTGGCTTGGAGAACTGCCAGGCTGAGATCTGCAAAACTTGGCAAGGAGTCTCGGAGAGTCACGAACCAATTAAGTGAAATAATTGTCTCCTGCAAACTCCTCTCTCCTTTGCTCCTCTTTTATTTCCTCTGGGAGGGGCCGTTCACTGCCCACCTCCCAAGTCGACCCCTGTTCCTTAGCTGTTCCCTTCGTCTGGCGGCTCTGCACTTGACACCCCGCTGGCATTGGTTCTGATCAAGGCTTCCCGAGAGCATGAAGCAAACTCCTGGTCCCGACAAAAACCCCTTTTATTAATTTACTGTGAATTCCAGGACTGTTTTTACCTCCGGAGCCTGGGGGAGGCCGTTTTCACCCTCCCGGAGGCTCAAGAAAAACCTCCAGAGCCTCCGGAAGGTGAAAAATGGGCCTCCCAGAAGTTGCAGAAGTCCAGAAACGGGCCCGTTTCCAGCCTTCAGAGCCCGGGGAGGCTTTTTTTGCCCTCCCGGAGGCTCGAAAAAAACCTCCGGAGCTTGGGGAGGGTGAAAATGCCCCTTCCCACCATGATAGCAGTTAGACTTATATACCGCTTCATAGGGCTTTCAGCCCTCTCTAAGCGGTTTACAGAGTCAGCATATCGCCCCCAACAACAATCCGGGTNAGGGAGGGAGGAAGGAAGGAAGGAAGGAAGGAAGGAAGGAAGGAAGGAAGGAAAAGGCTTATCAGAATAACTGTTAATTCTTGACCTTGCAAACAGATTTTGTAAAAGGAAGATGAATGGTCAGGTTTTCTCCCCTGTCCTTTTAAGATTGTTCTCTGCTTAATAGCAATAGCCCTTAGACTTATATACCGCTTTACACTGCCTCTCTAAGTGGTTTACAGAGTCAGCCTCTTTCCCCCAACAATCTGGATCCTCATTTGACCCACCTCGGAAGGACGGAAGTCAACCTTGAGCCTGGTGGGATTCAAATGCCAAATTGCAGGCAGCCGGCAGGCAGCAGAAGGAGCCTGCAGTACTGCGCTCTGACCACTGCGCCACCCCACCGTGACTTATCCCCAAATTCAAACTGCTGGCTTCCCAAGACCTCAGATTCAACAGCACTTTCTGGTAAAACTACAGAGCGCAACCAGGACATTTTAACAGTGGGATTTCTTTTACCAGCTCCCCGAGAAATCTCCCTGGGAAGCAGAGACATTTGACAAGCCTTCCACAGCCACAGACTGGAAAAGCGACAGGTGGGAGGAGCAAACACCTTGCTAAATGAAGATGAGACACCATGTCCCTTCAACACGAGACAGCAGTGATGCTTAAAGGTAAAGGTTCCCCTCGGACATATGTGCTATTCGTTCCCGACTTTAGGGAGCGGTGCTCATCTCTGTTTCTAAGCCGAAGAGCCAGCGCTGTCCGAAGACGTCTCCGTGGTCATGTGGCCAGCATGGCTCACCACCAAAGGCACACAGAACGCTGTTCCCTTCCCACCAAAGGTGGTGCCTATTTTTCTACTTGCATTTTTTTACGTGCTTCCGAACTGCTAGGTTGGCAGAAGCTGGGACAAGTCACGGGAGCTCACTCCATTACGCGGCGCTGGGGATTCGAACCACCGAGCTTTCTGATTGAGAAGCTCAGCATCTTAACCACTGAACCACCGTCCCTTGTGCTCCACTTACAAGAGTTCATTTAATGACCATTCAAAGCTACAACAGCCCCGCAAAAGGTGTCTTATGTCCGTTTTTCACACTTAACGGCCGTTGCAGCATTCCCCAGGGTCACAGGATCCAAATTCAAACGCTTGGTAACTGACTCGTATTTATGACGGCTGCAGCTTCCTTGGGGGGGAGGGTATGTCACATGATCCCCTTTTGCAACCTTCTTGAGAAGCAAAGTTAATGGGGAAGCCAGATTCATGTACTGTATTTTTCGGACTATAAGATGCACCGGAGTATAAGACACACCATGATTTTGAAGAGGTAATTTTTTTTTAAAAAAAGGTTTGCACACTCTGCAGGCTTCCCAAACTCTTTGCACGCCTCGTTTTTTTTTGCAAAAAAAAGGGGGGCATGCAGACCTTTGGGAGGTTCTTAGAGTGGTCCTGGGGGCTCCCCCCCCCAAACGAGCAAATAACGTCCTGTTTTTTGCAAAAAAAAAGGACATGCAGAGGCTTTGGGAGACTTGTAGAGTGCTCATGGGGGCTGGAGAGACAAGAATGAGCAAAAAGGGCCTGTTTTCTGCTTGTTTTTGCCCAGCCCAGACCCCAGGAGCACTTTGCAAGCCTCCCAAAGCCTCTGCACATCCATTTTTTGCAAAGGGGCGGGGATTCAGTAGGCAAAAAATGTCTATTCGGTGTATAAGACGCACTTAGATTTTCACCCTTTTTTGAGGGGAAAAGGTGCGTCTTATACTCCAAAAAATACGGTAATTGAAATTCTGCCTTAAAATGCCTCCAAAATTGTATTCCAGTTGTCCCAGGACCGGTCTCCTTGCTCGCTCTGTCTCCAAGCGGGTCCCAGAAGCCCACCCAAAGGCCGCTACAAAAGTATCTTCAGCCTAGCGTCTCTGTCCAGAAGCAAAACTCACCTTGGTAATGAGGATCCGGTATTTCTCCACCAGAAAATCGTTGTTGTGACATCCTGCCAGAAGCTGCCACACCTCTCCCCGGAGGGCTTCGGGAACGCCGCTCCTCACCAACGCAGACAAGGGTTTGGGCCGCACACTCAAGTTCAAGTGCCTGGAAAGGAGGGAGGGACGGAGGGTGCATGAGTTCAGCTAGAGGCTTGGCACACCCCAGGGCAGGAAGGGGCAAGTTCCTTCTTGCCTCAACCGATCAGAAGCAGAATGGAATACAGCTGGAAGGGACCTTGGAGGTTTTCTAGTCCAGCCCCCCCCCCCTCCCTGCTCAAGCAGGATAATGTATACCATTTCAGAAAGGAAGGAAGGAAGNGCTGGCAGCTTCCACCCATCCAGTTCCGGTCAGGTGCGGAGGTGCAGAGACAAAGAATGACCTTGGCTTTATAGAAAGAATTTTCTTATGGCTACTTAACATCCAACTCCGTACAATCCCCCCTCCCATTTTCCCACCATAGAAAAGGCATAGTAGAAAAATAGAAAGTGTGGCAGGCCTGAGATCTACAAGAAATCTGCAGGCCTGACATGAAATGTGTTAACTGTTATTGATATGTAGCTAATTAAGATGTGAGGAAATTATATTAATATTATTAATTGTGGATAATTAATTAAGTTAAATGCTTATTATATCAAAATTGAATTTGAGGATATATGCTACCTATAGTAAAAATAAAATAACGGATGAAAAAATGAAATGATAAATTTGGTTTAACTTTGAAGGGGCAAATAATGGAATTGTTTATGTATTAACAAGAAAGTAAGTCTAAGATGAAAAATATGGAAAGAAAACAATATGGCTGAAATTGGAAATGGAAATACAACGTAAAATGAATTATGTATATGAGAGGACGTTAAAGGGGAAAACCCAGGCAACACTTTGTTTTTAACAGAAGTTAAAATTTGTAACAAAAAATCTTCTTCTCATATTCTCCTATTGGTTTCTTACAATTTATCAATGGTTGTTTGTAACTTATGATTAATGATTGTAACTATTATTTATGGCCTATGACCTATTACTTGCCGTTTATATATATACACTGTTAGCTCTGCACCAGACACAAAAATCCTTGTGCGTTCAATTAGACTTGGCCAATAAAGAATTCTATTCTATTCTATTCTATTCTATTGTGATTTCTATTCTATTCAGTAATTCTATTCTATTATACTGTTAATTCTATTCTATTCTGTAATTGTTGCATTCCGTTCTATTCCATTCTATTATGTAATTTTATTCTCTTTTGTAATTCTATTCTATTCTGTAATTTTATTTATTCTGTAATTTTATTCTATTCTGTAATTCTTTTCTATTCTGTAATCCTATTCTATTGTTCTGCTCTATTCCATTGTAATTCAATACTATTCTGTTTTGTAATTCTATTCTATTGTTCTGCTCTATTCCATTGTAATTCAATACTATTCTATTCTGTAATTCTGTTCTATTCCGTAATTTTATTTTATTCTATAATCCTATTCTGTAATTCCTTTCTATTGTTCCATTTTATTCTATTCTATTGTAATTCAATACTATTCTATTCTATTGTTCTGTTCTATTAATTCTCTTCTATTGTAATTCTCTTCTCTTCTGTCCTGTTCTATCTGTTTTACTCTAATCTATTCTATTCTGTAATTCTATTCAATTCCAGCCCATTCCCATGGATTGGGGTGGCACTACCACCCAGGCACTCACGAACCTTTGGGCGTTTCCTCGTTCACTATTTGGAAGTGCGGAGACTTGGTGTTCCAACTCCCGGTAATGATGTACGATTTCCCATCTGAGCTTTTCCCCATCGACTCCTAAGAGAGCAGCAGAGAGACCGGGATGGAACACAGCACGCCCCAGCAGGCATGCGGTTGGGGGGGAGGGAGGGGGCACCTCGGGAGGGAGACCGAGGGCGCGGGCTGAGGAACAGAAGGGCCGCTTACCAAATCCAGCAAATGCATGTCTCCGCTCTGCACATCTTTCCCAGGACTGAGAAGGAGGCCAAAACATCTGGAAACATGAAGAAGGAGGAGATTAGCAAGACGGTGGACTGCGATTGAATCCAGAAGAAGCAAAGGCAGCCCACCCACCCCCACTTTGAGACTCTACTCTGAAAATTACGCCTCATTTTTTAGCCTGAAAAGGGGCACCAGGCTTCCTAGGACAGCTTTCCAGAACAGGTCCCGTATTTTTCAGACTATAAGACACACTTTTTTGTCTCCCAAAGGGGGTGAAAATGTCTGTGCGTCTTATAGACCAAATATTGCTGAAGCCTAACTGCCTAACCGCCTCCACACACCCCATGTTTGGCCCTTTTTCAGCCCATTTTTGGGACTTTTTTCAACTCATTTTCAAGACTATTTTCAGCCCATTTTCTGGAGAAAACGGGCTGAAAAGTGTCTTGAAAAAGGGCAGAAAAAAACCTCCAAAACGGAATGAAAAAAGCCTTTAAAATGGGCCAAAAATGCCTCATAAAATGGGCCGGGAAAAGCTGAAAATGGACCTTAAAAAAGCCTCGAAAGGTTGAAAAAAGCCTTGAAAATGGGCAGGAAAAAAAGCCTAGAAAGTGGGTCAAAAAAAGCCTCAAATACGGGCCAAGAAAAGCCTCAAAAATGGGCCAAGAAAAGCCTCGTAAACAAGCCAAAAAAGCCTCAAAAATGGGTTGAAAAAAGTCTTGAAAACAGGCTGAAAACGCCTCAGAAATGGGCCAAGAAAAGACTAGAAAACGGGCTGAAAAAACCTTCAAAAACGGCTGGCTGGGGGATTCTGGGAGTTGAAGTCCACAGGACTTAAAGTCGTCACGGTTGAGAAACACTGGCATAGAGGAACAAGGAGATTGTTCTCTCACCTGCCTGGGTCTTAAGTACCAGTGTCGAGGCCCGACACGTGCTGCCTTACCTCTCGATGGCCAATTCTTTGTTAGTGGTCTGTTGCACGTAGATGACGATCTTCTTGTCGATCCCTTGCCGTAACTTGAAGCACTGCCTGTCTTTGTCTTTTGGAACGGCACTGGGGGGGAGGGAAGGAAAACCAAGAAGATTACATTCAAAGTTGAGGCAGTCCAGATGACTTCCGGATGTGACACCCCCTTGTTCATTATTTCCTTTAGGAACCCCATAATCCCTTGCGGGGTGGAGTCTGGGCAACTGAATGAAGCTGGGTGTTTACTGGCCCCTTGCCCTTCCTGTTGCCAATGCTGAGTTTTTTCGAGCAGTATATTCTCAAGTGTGCCCAGAGAGTGAAATATCTGCCTCAAAATGGAAGCTTCCTTCGGCAAATGTTCCACAGGGAGCTGATACCTGAAGCAGCCTTTCCCATCGTCCTCCTTGATTTCCAGGGAGACCGAAAAGGTGAAGATGTCGCTGTCTGGCATCTCTGGAGTAACAGGGGCCGCGAGCGGGACTTGCTTGGCAGAACGGCGGAAAGCGGTGGCAAAACTGTACAGGATCCGGCTCACCTGAGGTGGAGGAGAGGAAGGGAAGGAAGGGGAGGAGGAGAAGGAAGGAAGAAAAGAGAGAAGGGAGGGAGGAATGAAGGAAGAAGGAAGGATGAAAGGAAGGAAGAAGGATGGAAGAAAGGGAGGGGGAGAGAGAGGGGGAAGATGAGGAGAAGAGACGAGACGAGAAGAGAGAATAAGGATGGAGAAGGTGGAAGTCCAACCTCACATCCCACCTGCTTCCTGCCTAGGACCCCAGGCCCTCCCCAGCTCCACCCATTGAACTTACAGCTTCCTGGATCTCGCATCGGAAGACGTGAATTCTGAAGAGCTCGGAGTTGTAATGGCTTTCCGTGAAAGCAAAGCAGTCGCTTTCCGGAGTCCCGTCATGACCCCGCACACAGAACAGGATCTTGTAAATGGGATAGTTGGCTATTTCGGTGTTTGTTGGAGGCTCCAGCAACCTATGGGAGGGAGGAAACCCCACGCAGGGGTAAGAGCGAAGCAACGGGCTCGTTCATTTTATCCAACACAAGTTTTAAAGTACAGGGGTACCCCCAATTAGTCTAGGGCATGGGGTCTCCAAACTTGACAACTTTAAGGATCATGGATTTGCTAGGGAATTCTGGGAGTCGTAAAGTTGCCAAGTTTGGAGATCCCTAGTCTAGGATATGTGTCTGTCCTGGTCACCTTTTACAGAGGCACGATTGAGAGTGTTTTAACAAACTGCATCCCTGTCTGGTTTGGTGGCACCAGCGCCTCAGATAGAAAGTCCCTACAGAGAGTAATGAGGACAGCTGAGAAGATTATAGGAAGCTCGCTTCCCATTATTCAGGATGCCACTTATAATCTCTATGTGCTTAGAGCTCAAAGCATTGTTAGAGACCCCACGCACCCCTCCACGGTCTGTTTCTGTCGCTCCCCTCTGGGAGGAGGTTTCGAACTATTTCTAGCAGGACTACCCAAATCTGGGACAGCTTTCTTCCCTAGACCATCCGCCTTGTAAACTTGCAAGATTTGTTGCTCTCGCCATGTACATTCGAACTAGACTGAGTTGTTTCTGTGTCATATATGTGCATATATGCATAATTTTGTATTTATCTATCTATTTTTAGGGAGTGCAGGGGTGTCAAACTCAAGAGGTGCTTAGATGTGGCCCGCAGAGCTGGCCTGGAAATAGCAAAGGATCGGCCCATGCTGCCTCTGCTAGCGAAAACAAGGCCTGCTCCAGCACTAGGCCCCGCATGCTCTTCCCCACTCTGAGATATCTCATGTGCATTTAATGATCTTTGCATTCTGTTAGGAATATAATCTAACGGTTGGGTTGACAATATGTATAAATCATGTAACCATGTTGTACCTGTTGCTTTAAACATACTGTAAAATGTGATTGGTTGCTGTTTCCTCAATCAACCATAAGAGGAAGCCAGAATGACTGTTAGCTTTCTGTGCGTTAGATGCTGGGCTGATCTGATCTGAGTGTGTTGGAAGCTGGCTGTTAGAAAGTGCCGTGAGCTATTACAAGTATTGCAATTGCTAGCAAACTTAGAGTACTGAACTGATTATATGATACTGCACTATGTTATTTGGATTATCCCTTCACTGAGAGACATTGATGACTGTCTTATCCGTGTATGACTTGGACTTTTCGATGGACTCTGATACCTCTATTTCCACGAANAACAGGCTCCAGCTGTTCTTCTGCCTCACTGATGTCTGACTCTGAAGGCAGCTGATAACAGGCAGACGGCCCTGGCCCCCTCTCTGCCTCCAACACAGAGCCCTCATTCGAGCCTTCCCCAGACTCCAGGACTGGCCCAGGTTCCTCCCCAACCTCCTCACTGTCTGAGTCTTCCACCAGCTCCGCTGGAGAGCCACAACACCTTCATCCTGTTAACAAGCCTGTATTTTTATGTATAGCTAGTCCTCCGCTTACGACCACAAGTGAGCCCAAAATTTCTCCTGATAAGTGACTCAGTTTGTTAAAGTGAAATTTCTCCCACTTGCTGACGTGGCTAAGCGAATCCCTGCAGGTGTTCACTTAGCAGCATGGTCGTTAAGTGAATCTTGCGTCCCTGTGGACTCTTGCTTGTCAGAAGGTCGCAAAAGGGGATCTTAACAGCCGCCGTCATAAATGTGAATCAGTGGCCAAGCATCTAGATTTCGATCGCAGGGGATGTTGCAGCATAAAAAACGGTCATAACTCGCTTTTTCCCCCAGGGCCGTCATTAACTTCCAAAGGTCAGTAAGTGAACTGTTGTAAGTCAAGGACTACCTGCAACCAGGGGTGGGCTGCTACTCGTTCGCCTGGGTTTGGGAGAACCCGTAACTAACATTATGGCTGGTTCGGAGAACCTCAAAATCCCACCCCTGGCTGGCCGCGCCCACCCTATGCCATCCCTCCCAGGAGTCTCCACACAGCCCGTTTTGGAGGCAAGGTACCGTATTTTTTGGACTATAAGACGCACCGGAGTATGAGATGCACCACAATTTTGAAGAGGTAATTTTTTTTAAAAAAAAGTTTTTGCACTCTGCAGGCTTCCCAAACCCTCTGCACGCATCGTTTTTTGCACACAAAAAAGGGTGTGTGTGCAGACCTTTGGGAGGCTCCCAGGGGCTTGGGGGAGGGCTAAAATTGAGGAAACCACAGCCTGTTTTTCACAAACACAGGCCATTTTTGCAAAAAAAAAAAAAAACCACAGGCCATTTTTGCAAAAAAAGGGGCGAGCATGCAGAGCTTTGGGAGGCTTGTAGAGTGCTCCTGGTGGCTGGGAGAGGGGCAAAAAACAGCCCATTTTTTGCTCGTTTTTGCCCTTCCCCAGCCCCCAGGAGCCCTTTGCAGGCCTCCCAAACACTCTGCACCTCCATTTTTCCAAAAAAAGGGACACGTGGGGCAGGGCTTCAGTAGGCCAAAAATGCGGTATTCAATGTATAAGACACACACAGATTTTCACCCTCTTTTGGGGGGGGGGGGAAAGGTGCATCCGATACTCCAAAAAATACGGTATGTGCAGGGCCTGCGCAGAGGTTCAGGGAAGGGGGAAAAAACATTAGCCTCCGGAGCCTGGAAGAAGCAGTTTTCGCCCTCCCAGAGGTTCAAGGAAAGCCTCCGGGAGGTGAAAACGCCCCCTCTGCCGTGGTGCAGGAGGCCGACTAGGCCACGCCCACCCAGCAACCAGGCAGCCCACCCCTGCCTGCAACCCCCTTTCCTGGGAAAATTCTCCAGCCGAGACTCGGGTGCCACCGCATTCTGCCTCCCGGCCCCCTTTGATGGGTCTTTTGCTGACATTCCTGGCGTGCCGGAGAAGTGGATGGAGGCAAAATTGGCCGGCTGCCAAGCAGGGGAAAAAAAAAAAAAGCCTTCCTGGATTGCAAAGGGCAGAAGCTTTTCGAGGAAAAGGCTCTTACCTTCAACCCCGGCTTTTCGTCATCGCTACCGATATGGGCAGAGGGGTTTTCATCGTCCTGCCTGGAAATCAAGACAAAATCTTCACTGTTGAGCGTCGAGACCGAATCGGAAGACACGCTGATTTTGCCCACTGAGGCCTTGTCATCCATTTCTTTTTTTTAAAAAAAGAATCATAGGTGGCCTGGAAGAGGAAGGACCTGGAAAACATGAAGCGCACACAATGTCACAATCGCCGCTTTCTGGAGGGCTCTGAGAAGGGAGGAACTCAGGGGTTTGCGGGTCTGGTGCCAAAGGATTTCGAGGGGTCCTTGGTGCCCTCTGAGCTTGGTGGGTTTTTTGCAGACGTTTCATTACCCACCTAAGTAATGTCATCAGTGCTAAGAGGGAGTGAGATGGGGAGGAGGAGGAGGACTGTGGGGTCCCTGGTGCTCTCTGAGCTCGGTGGTTTTCTTGCCCCTCAGATATTGGAAGACTCCTATCCTGTCTCCCCTGGTCCTTCTCTTCCCTAGACTAGCCAGGCCCAGTTCCTGCAACCGTTCTTCATGTTTTAGTCTCCAGATCTTTGATCATCTTAGATAGATTCAGTTTAACAGAGGTGGAAGGGACCTTCTAGGTCATCTAGTCCAACCCCCAACCCCAGNCCGTGTATGACTTGGACTTTTCGATGGACTCTGATACCTCTATTTCCACGAAGGTAAAAGCCTATTTAAACTGCAGTGTCTCTGTATGCTGGTTTGTGTGTTCTCCAACACAACTCTCACAACGCTTCGCTGAACGTACTCGCTCTCCCAACAGGGAGCTTACCTAACACTTTCGATTAACAAACGCATTGGGGAAAGCAGGGAGTGATCACGTTCATTTAACGTGATTCAGTTCCAACGAATTCTCTGGTTACAAATGTAATTAGCAAGCCCTATTACATCCGTCACGGATTACCTGTATAATATGAGGGAGGGTCTCGGGCAAGTCGTGCCATAGAACTTGGCTCCCACAGGTTTCCTCTCTCCCCCTCAAGTCCCCTTAAACAGGTCATGATTTTAAGGAAGGTCCAAATACTTGAGGCTACATACAGCCAACCACTTGTTTTAGCATGACTTAAGACTTAGAGTAACTTTATTGTCCCTTTGTAACACCAAAGGTGGTTCCTATTTTTCTACTTGCATTTTTGACGTGCTTTCAAACTGCTAGGTTGGCAGAAGCTGGGACAAGTGACGGGGGCTCACTCCGTTACGCGGCACTCGGGATTCGAACTGCCGAACTGCTGACCTTTCTGATCGACAAGCTCAGCATCAGCTTAGCCATTAAGCCACCTGATATTGTCACTTTGAATGCACACTCATCGGCCTACATCAAAATGAAATTTCATTCCATACAGCTCTCAAAGATTAACCCGCCTCCAATATACACTACATCAGGGGTATTAAACCTGGATTTCATTGACGGCCGCATCCGAGTTGTGTTTGACCTCAGAGGGACAGGGAGTGGGTGGGGGTGGTCACAGTGGGCATCTACCTCACGGTGCCCTCAGACACATTTGGCACAGAAAGCGTCACGTCCACAGAGGTCTGGCCTTGGCTCCGCAGGATGGCCATCATCCTCAGGGCCTCCACCTCGCTTCGGGGGGCGTTGACTGAGGCGCAGCCCAAGTAAGTGAGTTTGCTGAAGACCACGCTGTCCTCGTCGGCCACTGGGGTGAAGGGGCTGGAGTCCTCCGAATCTGCCAGCCCAGCCCCACCAAAAAAAAAAGGAAAGAAGGAGTCAGCAGGGAAAGGGAAGGAAAGAAATGCATTTTATCATCATCTTCATATAACGACATAATAATCCCTTGCGGGGTGGAGTCTGGCCAACTGAATGGAACTGAGTGTTTACTGGCTGGATTCTGTCCCTGTCGCCAATGCGGAGTTGTTTTTTCCCCCAGCAGATATATTCTCATTGTGCCCAGAGAGAGAAATACCTGCCTCCTCCTCCTCCCACCTTCCTTAGCCTTGGTGGGAGCTCACCTCCCTGGGATGGCTTCACCGGGAGCCTCATTTCTGGCTTGGAGGGTCCCGTCACGGACACGGGGTTGATGGTGGAGGAGGCGGAGGCCTCAAGGAGAACCAGCTCGTCTCCTTCTCCGTCCTGGGAGGGGCTCCCTTCCTCCCCCTCCCGGTCATTGGAGGGGTCCTCCATGGGGGGATCCATTAGGATGTCTTCCAGTTCCTTCTGCAGCTGCTGCTCACTCCCATTTCCTACAATCTGGGGAAAGAGAAAACATTGGTGGATCTCGGCCAGATGCCCCGAGAGAAGTGAGGTGGCCATGAGGGAGCCAGGAAAACACGCATTTGCAGCTGGAAAAGAATACCGGTAGTCCCAGACTTACAGCAGTTCATGTAGTGACTATTCAAAGTGACAGCAGTGCTGAAAAAAACGGACTCAGGACCATTTCTCACACAACGGTGGCTGTAGCCTTGTGATAATGTGAATTTAAATTCGGATGCTGGACAACTGATTCGTATTTATGACGGTCGCAGTGTCCCGAGGTGTCCCTTCAGCGGCTTCCAGAAATCATGGGTGCTCCAACCCTGATTTTTTTCAGACGAAGCTACAAAGTCACTTATCTAAATTGATATAGCATATTTTTTGGCATATAAGACGTACCAAGGTTTTGAAGAGGCAAATTGGGAAGGAAAAAAAAAAGGTTTTGCACTCTGCAAACCTCACAAAAACGGGTCCGGGTTTCTTTTTCCAAAAAAGGGCATGAACAACCCTTAGAAGGCTTGTAGAGTGTTCTGGGGGGCGGGGGGGGCAATAAAAAAACCAGCCCATTTTTCACAAAAACGGTCCCGTTTTTTGCCAAAAAAAAAGGGCATGGATAGCCCTAGGGGCTGGGGGGGGGGCAAAATTGAGCAAAAAAGGCCCATTTTTTGCTCATTTCTGCCTTCCCCAGCCCCCAGGAGCACTCTGGAAGCCTCCTAAAGACTCTGCACGGCCATTTTGGTGAAGGGGGCGGGGAGGCCAAAAATGCTGTATTCACCCAGATTTTCAGCCTCTTTTTTGAGGGAAAAGGGTGCATCTTATACTCTGAAAAATACGGTAGGTCCGTGATGGCAAACCTGTGGAACGTGGAGTCTTCTCTGCGGCCACGTGAGCTGCCATCCAGTTCAGCTCCACCATGCATGCATGTGTGTCTCCTGCCGGCCGGCTGATTTTCAGGTATCTGCTGCGAATGTGGGAGACGTGTGCACATACACGTGGGAGAAGGGGCCACATGCGCACACGCAGAGAGGAGCATTGAGTGATGGGGTGCACCCCATTTTTTTATCCCAGGAGTTTTAGGGAGGCCTTCTAGGGCCAAAACGGGGCACGGGGAGGGGAAGTTGTGCACGCATGCTCAGGGAGAGTGGGGGTGTTGCAGGGCGCTTACAAGTGGATGCGCAGTGGGGTATCATGCGAAGTGATGTCACGCATGCATTGCATTATGGGTGTGCTGTTGCGCGCATGTTGCAAGGACAAAAAGGTTAGCCACCACTGGTATAGGTTCTCCTGCTTCAACAGGGAGCTGGACTAGAAGATCTCCAAGGTCCCTCCTAGTTGATTCCATTCTAACATTCAGTCCTTCTGACAATGGAATGGGGAAGCCAGGTTCATTTCCCTACCGTGTTACTAATCGAACAACCGTCGCAATTCCCTTCAGAAATGTGTCGTAAAAGGTCGTAAAAGGGCCGCAAGTTC